AGTGCAGAAAGTGTCTGCAACAACCCCCAACACCAACACTAACACCAACACCAAACCAACCCGGCCCAAACCACGCCACACATATCTCTGCAGCCTCGGTCCACGCCATTCATTCACATCACATCATCATCGCTGCCTGACCAAAAAGTGACTTGGCTGAGTCCCCAAGCTAACACGTCATTTTTTTTTTTTCATTCGTCTCTCTCCAGCCAGCCAAATCCCCGGCACCTGCAGACCTAGCCGCACCCGCAGCACACACAAACACAGAGCGAACCAAACAAACACAAACCACCAGCGAGCGAGCAAGCCGCCCTTACGTACATACACACATACACACATACACACATACATACATCCATCTTCCTTCCTTGGTTCAGCACCAGCAACACCAGCAGCATGGCTGATCAGCAGAAGAACAACACGGAGCCGCCAAAGTGCGCCGGTGGCTGCGGCTTCTTCGGTGTGTAACCCACGGGGCGGTGTCGTCAAATCTTGTTTGTGTGTGCATGTATGTCAATATGGTTCATTCGTGACACACACACGCGCACAATCAGAGTCCCTCCTTGTTGAGCGTGCATGCATCCACATCTATCCACAAGTATCCACCCACATTGCATCCACACGACCCCATCATCCAATCTCACCCCCCTCCCCCAACAACAATATCAACGATCATCTTTCTTTTTTGTTCAGGCAACCCTGCGTCTGAGAACTTTTGCAGCAAGTGCTACCGCGACCGTTACGGGCCAGACGCCTTTTTGGGCAAGCCCCTCACATCCCCGTCAGCAACCACACTTCCATCCTCGTCGTCCGCCTCCGCACCCACAGCAACCGCCTCCAGCGCGAGTCGAAGCAACATAGACATGGGTATGATGGACACGTCATCATCAACTTCGTCCATGTCACCCTTGGCGCCACAGCCACACGCGCCCGCACAGCCCGCCACGCAAGACGAGCAACACGCTGCCGCAGAAAAGGCGTCAGACTCTGTCACAGCGACACCAAGCAAGAAGTCCAAGAAGAAGAAGAAGAACCGCTGCCACGTCTGCAACACCAAGCTCGGCATGCTCGGTAAGTGTCTGTGTGCCTGTCCGTGTGTGTGTGTGTGTGTGTGTGTGTGTGTGTGTGTGTGTGTGTGTGTGTGTGTGTGTGTGTGTGTGTGTGTCTATGGATGTATGAGTTTGACAAACACAACTCGCCACACCTCCTCACCACGCAACACCTGTCTTCTCACACCTTGTCTTCCCCCCCCCTTCTCTCTCTCTCTCTCTATCAGGGTTTGAGTGCAAGTGCGACGGCATGTTCTGCAGCAAGCACCGCTTGCCAGATGATCACGAGTGCACCTTTGACTTCAAGTCGTTTGACAGGAACAAGATTGCCCAGGCAAACCAGGCTGTCACCCCAGAGAAGCTCAACCGCCTGTAAAGGCTGGCTGTGAAGCGATGTGTTGGTGGTGATCATGGGTGGTGGCGGTACCCGTGGTGGTGGTGGTGGTTCCTCACAACCACCACTTCTTCAAGACCACCGCTTTGTTGCTCCCACCACATCCTCCTTCCCCCCACCTCCTCCTTTTCTCCTTCCTTCCTCTTCCTTCTTTCTTTCTTCCTTCCTTCTCTCGGCGTTTCCACGCAACAGGACTCGCTCGTTGTCTGGTTGACAAGCGCGAGAGAACTTAGGCATGCAGGGAAAGACTGAACGGATGGCTGTGAGCGAGTGAGTGAGTTTTGACTTTGCGGGTATATGTGACGAGCGCTCTGCTGACCCCAAACAAGCAAGAAGTGTGTTGCCTTCTGTTGCCTTCCTTTCTGGTTTCCTGTTTTTTTTTGTTTGTTTGTTCGTTTTGATGATGATGATGATGATGATGTATTGGTTGTGTCTGTGCATCTGTGCACTCCACCATGCAAGTGTGCAGACCACAACACAAAAACCAAGAAGCAATTAAACGACGCAATTCCAACGTTTGCAAGCAACGTAGTGTTGTAATGTAATGTAACATGAACAGGGATGGCTGCAGCGTCGCGTGGTGTCGCGTGGTGTCGGGTGCAAGGTGGCACTACTTGTTCAACACCGGCTACGCGTCTGGTCGCACATCCATGGTGGCTGCAAAGGTTTGGAGAGTCATGTGGGAGGAGGGTGGTGGTGGGACGTGGTGGGACGTGGTGGGTGAGTTGTCGTGAGTTGACTCCCAGCACACAAGCAGCAAGCAAGCAAGCAAGCAAGCAAGCAAGCAACTGGAGTGAAGTCATCAACCTACTTGCGCCACTGTCCGCTTCGCTCGCTGCCGTCATGGTGGTGGTGCTGGTGGCGGGTTTGCTGGGCCCTGGCGCGTGCGGATGTGTTGATGGGGTTGATGATGATGACGCTTCAAACTCAATGGCAATCTTGACGCTCCGCTCAATCTGGGACGTCCCGGCCTGGACCTGCGATGTGGGTGTGGGTGTGGGTGTGGGTGTGGGTGTCAGTGAGACATTACTGACTTTGGAAGCGGGAAACAAGACACAGGAAACGAGACACAAGAAACAAGTACACATGCGCGCGCGCACACACACACACACACGCATACACGTACGCATACACACACACGCATACACACACACGCATACACACACACACACACGTGCACATGCACACACACACACACACGCTCACACACAGAATATCACTGACCTGCTGCAAGGAGAGGAGGGAGAGACCTGGCTTTGATTCGTACGGCTGCGCCATTTCCCGAAGAAATCGCTTGGCAAGCTTCACCGCCTGGGGTGTCGTGCATGCATGCAGGCAATACACAAAAGAAAATGTGAACACAATGCACATTTGTGGCACGGTTGCACGGTGAGAGTGAGTGAGGGAGGGAGGGCACAGCGTCATCATGCACATGATGAGATGAGCTGTTGGAAAGCATGCGCCATGAAGGTTCGTCTCACGCACGTCGTCGGTGGACAGGTTCGTGTGTCCGGGTGTGATGTATTTCTGAATCCACTTGGGCAACTTCCCTTTCTTGTCCTCACTTGCGTAACGCTGATGACCAATGTCAGCAACAGCAGGGCGTGGCAGCATGAGTAACAACACCAGACCAAAACACAAAGCAACAGTGTTAGGGGGCAACGGTGAACCAGTGAGACAGGCAGACGGACAGAGAGACACAGGGACGAACAGAGAGACAGACAAACAAACATAGACACACACACACACAAGCACACAAACACACACATACACACACAAGCACACACACACACACAAAGCACAAGCACACAAGCACACAAGCACAGGACCGAAATCAACACTACTGCGTGCACACGGTATGGGGCCATGGAACGTACCGAGTCGGCAAAGCACATGATGCCGTAATCGGATTTACCGCGTATGGCGCGGCCAACACACTGAGGGACAAACAGGGAGTGTGAGATGGGCTCAGGTGGTGCTCTGCATTCAACACACGTTGTGGATCGTGCACCAGAACTTGGGTTTCAACTCACATCGCAGCATGCACACAAACAGGCACACACACACATATATATGAGCGCATGCACTGACTTGAGCTGCGTGTCGCATGGCGTCAAAGGTGAGGAACGCCCCTTCCTTGATTTGGAAATTGTCGGTCAAAAACTCCAATCGCGCCTTCAAAATGCGGCTCTGTACAAAGCACCGCATGGTAGAGTGTTGAGTCGGCACAAAGCACAAACATGCGTACGCACGCAAATGACAATGGCAATCGGCCTTGAACCGAAGAAGCTCAAACACACGCAAACACGCAAACACACACACACACACACACACGCATGCACACACACACGCATGCACACACACACGCACACACACACACACACACACACACACACATACGCCAACCTGAGTGTAGACATATGGGATGCCGAACATAAGGACGGCCCGGCCAAGATGGTGATCAAAGTCAATTCCTTCCGACACTTTTCCCCGCGCGACGGACAGCAGAATGGCACCACGCCCATTCTCGCACGCCTGTAGCATGTTATGCGTGCGTGTGTGTACATGAGATTGTGAGTGAGTGAGTGAGTGAGTGAGATTGTGAGATTGTGAGATTGTGAGTGAGTGTGTATGTGTGTGTGTGTGTCACTGAGAAGCAAGTCTGCATGCCGCTGGAAACATCGCAAACACAAATGCATTCACACACACACACATGTACGAAATACGCATTAGCACGCACCCTCTGGTAGTTGTCGAGAGCGATGCTCGTCTCCACCACATCCTGCGTCTCAGCAAACACTGCGGGCAACATGGAACCACCAGACCGGTGAGAGGGGGGCACGTCAGCAGCAGTGTGTGCACCGCATACACACACACACACACACGCACACACACACACACACACACACACAATGTGCTATTGATTGGATGTGAGCGGCAACCACGTGCAGCCGTGCTCACCCAATTTCTTCTGCTTGATCTTGTCCATGATGCCTTGGTCGTGCCACGTCGTTACCATGCTCTCCAGATACTCATAGCTGAACCGCCACCATGAAATGGTCGTGTGTGTGTGTGTGTGCGCGCGCGCGACGAACATGGTCAATGTGCGTCATCCAAGGTTGTGTATCGTGTGGGCATCAGCATCAGTGGCACGTGCGCGCGGCCATATGCACACGAGCGGATGCCCAGTCTCACCTGACGAAGAAGCAGACAATTCCGTCGGGTACAACGCCTGCGCCATGAACATAAACAGCAGGGCAGATGTGGTTGTAACAGGCATGGGTGCGCGTAAGCGAATGAATGGGTAGGTGTGTGTGTGTGTGTGTGTGTGTGTGTGTGTGTGTGTGTGTGTGTGTGTGTGTGTGTGTGTGTGTGTGTGTGTGTGTGTGTGTGTGTGTGAGCACTGCAATTGCATTGGTGTTGAAGGGGGTGCGAGGGAGCCATGGACTGGGTGACCCCTGCACAGCACACATACACATACACACACACACATACACACACATACATACATACAACACACACACACGTACGGGCCATGTCGAGGAGGAGGTGGCCGTAGTTTCGCTTCACGCTGTTGTCCTCTCGCGACTCGTACCTGAAGCAAGGAATGTGGGCGAGGAGCAGAGTGTGAGGTTCGGGCGCTGCGGGCTGAAGTGGATGTGGAAGTCTTGAAACGCGAAGGCACATAACTACATATGCACACACACGCACACACACACACGCACACACACACACACACACACACACACACACACACACACACACACGCACACACACACACACGCACACACACACATGTGGGCGCACCGGGAGGAAATCTTTGCCTGGTCCGAGCCGCAGGTGACAATCTGTCCACGAGCGAATGGAAAATGACACATGAGCGACATGGAATGGAATGGAAGCTTGCAGCGTGGAAGCGGAGACAGGAGGCACGACGGAAGAACAAAACACAATGCAAGCACACGCACAAACGAAACCGGCGGCACGAAAACAGCCAAGTCAACACAGACACAACAGGCAAGACAGGGTGTGCACTCGCGCACCATGGGCAGGAGGGAGGTTCTGCTGAGGGTCATGTCAAAGGTGCAGACGGTCACGGGCCGAAAGTTCAGAATCTTCGGATACATTTCCAGCGGCGACAGCGTCCCTGACACACACACACACACAAAGCAGAAGTGAACGTGAACTTGGCGGTTGGCTGCATAAAGATGGGGAGTTGTACGCTTATATGCACACATGAGGTTGCCAGTCTGCTTCCATGCATTCGTGTGTGTGTGTGTGTGTGTGTGTGTGTGTGTGTGTGTGTGTGTGTGTGTGTGTGTGTGTGCACCTGATGTGATGACGACGGACTGGAAGCGCTCAAAGACGGGACGAATGGCGAGCGACGCGTCCATGCAGCTGTTGAGAGCAGCGGCGCCAACACATATGAGCTGTTCATCATGGCGCAAACTGTTGCACATCACTCCCCATGCAAACCGCATTGCGTTATCAGAGCACACACACAGAGCACACAGAGCACACACACACACACACACACACACACACACACACATACACACACACACACACACAGCATAAGGCACAGCAGGCGAAACAAAGCGAGTGGGCTGCGAGGACTGCACCTGAAGTGGAGGACGGGGTCGCGGATTGTGGGCGCGCGGTCGTCAAACGGTTCAATGATCAGACTGAACCCTGACATGAGGGCGGGAGAGGTGGTGGGAATGGGGATTGGCATGCGGAGAGGGGTGCTCGGTCACGCATCAACATCACGACTCGATACTGAAGCCATTCATACATGCACACGCACACACATGTGCAGGCACGAGCCGAGGTGATTGCGTGTACCGTCTGTGTATGTTGCGACGAGCGTTGCAAACGTCGCCACGCGCATGAGGGACGAAAAGTCGTCGTAGTCTGTCAGCTCCAGCGTCTGTTGTCGAGGGATGAGGTGAAGATGAAGGGATAAGGGGGTGGGCGATGTTGCGCGACTCACGAGTAAGAAAACACCCACCCACCCACACACACATACATACATACATACATACATACATACATACATACATACATACATACATACATACATACATACATACATACATACATACATACATACATACATACATACACAACACCTGCAACAAAGATGAGAGGCGTTCGCTGGCGAATCTGAGCGGCTTGCGGTCGATTGCAGCGTCAATGGACACCTGGTCCAGAAATACGGCCGGGGGCTCGTTCACCACGTGGTTCACATCCAGCCGTTTCTGCAATACACAGCGATGGCGGTGATGGTGAAGAGGATGGTGGCAGTGGTGGGGTGAGTTGGTTGGTCACTCGTGATTGCAGTTCGGGCATGCAGTATGCACTCATTGACAAAGAGCAGTTATGACATACACGCAACCACCAACACAACCAACAACACCACCACCACCATCACCACCACCACCAGAACCACCGCCACCACCACAACGCGACGGTGCCGGCACCTTGAGATATTCGACGAAACGCTTCAGGAAAGAGACAAAGTGTTCCGCCTTGCGAATGTTTCCCGGCACCGCCTCCTCCACAACCTGCAGCGGACGCACAGTCCACACGCGTGCCGTGTCATGTCGCGTCGTTTGGGCATGCGTTGAAACAGCGTTTGCACAAATCATTCACACGGAGATACACACACACATACATACACATACATACACGCACACACACACAGACGAGTTTGGCACTGACGTGTGACGGCAGGACCGGGTTTGCCATGACGGCGTCGGTTGCGTTGAGCTCTCGCGTCGTCTGCAGCCCTGAGCAGCTCACGCGGTCGGACATCGAGGGGGGGGGGGGCACGTGTGAATGCAGTCGAAACCAACAGGGTAGATGGTTCGCACGGATTGATTTTGGGGACCGATGATGATGGGCAGACAAGTGCATGCATCTACACAAGTACTTGGGCAAAAACAACACCCACCCACACCCACACCCACACCCACACCCACACCCACACCCACACCCACACCCACACCCACACCCACACCCACACCCACCCACACACCCACCCACACCCACACC